AGTTATGAATGTACACTTTATAATTGTTTTGTCCTTATAATTACAGAGAAATAATTTCTAGGATAGCTAGATCAGTCTGTTATAATGGGGGAAACCTTTCTAGTGTTCTGTAGTCTCAGATTCAAGATACACACATCTTCATAAATCTCACTAGGCAATTATAGTTTCCATATGTTCCCCTGGCTTCTTATGCTCTCCTAATAAACTTAATTCTTCTATAATGTAGAGCAGTGTTTCTCAACCTTGGCGACTTTAAGTCCTGTGGACTTAAAGTCGCCAAGGTTGAGAAACACTGATGTAGAGACTTTATACTTAATAAAATGTGGTCTGCTGAGTGTCTTGATGTTAGTTTCCATTCTGCTTCTGGCAGAATATTTGCTTACCAGTAGCCTAAGTAGGCTTCCATTCTCACAGATTTGCACTTACCTTTCTTTCCTTCACTGCAGAGCCAAGTCAGCTATTGCTCGAAGTTCAGTTCATGGGCCCAGTTATTCCTGCTCCACCAGATCCCAACAAGGCCTTCAAAGTAAGGTTCTTTATTCTACTGAACTATTCTACTGAAAAACATTAAGACAGGTGCAGGGAACCAGCTATTACCAAACTACAACTCCCAAGATCCCTCACCATTATCTATATTGACCGGGCTTCTATAAAAGTCGTAGAGGATCATAGGTTTTCAATTCATTGTGTGAACTTCTGTTTAATTGTGATTGTCAAAATTTCCTTTAGATCGGAATATGCTCTGTCAGGAACATATTCCAACAATGGACGAGAAAACAAACTTATTTCATATAAAACAAAATTATAGTTAAAAAAAAACCCCACAAATTATTGGCTTAATATACAACAGGAACAGGTAATCTTTTCCAGGAAATGGGCAGATGGGATTTTGAAAGCAAATGTCTTCATAAAATGCCTTCCAAGGCAGGCATGGCTATCACAAAACACCCTGTCAGTAAGTGGCAAATGGGTGGTATTGCCCGCACTACAGACACAGATACTTCCAAATACTTTAAATACTTAAAACCTTTCCCCTTTTTTTCTGAATAATTGGGCATTCTTCCCACTCCCCAATTTAAAAAAAACTCTTCCAAGACGTGCAATTTTTCTTCATGTGAAAACTAAATCTAGTGAAAGTCATTTAATTTGAAGCCTGGGCTTCGATTCTGCCACTCTCGTAGATGGTAGTGCATTTGGTGGATATAATACTTGAGAGTTACATGGATGGATTCGCAAATTACCAACTAACCCTTTTTTTTTCTTTCAGGCTGAGTGGGAAGCCTTGGAATTGGTCTCTCACCACTGGGCACTTCAGGATGTTGAGGAACAGCTGATATCACAGGACCTCAAGTTGACCGGGATGTCCAGGCCAGATTGAGCTCTTATCAGTCCACTCTGGAGTACAGTCCTACGGAATGGCAGTGCCCAGAGACGCTCTGCTCCTCACTACGAATTGGTGGCCAAGGACCACCTATTGTGCATGGTGTGCTAAAGTTGTGAAGTTGTGCTTGATTTAAATGGCAAAAGGCACTGACAGCGCTGAAAATCAATGATCATCAGTCTGATCAGGAAACGGTTTTAGAAACCTTGTGAAGAGCTGAAGCCTGGAATAGTGTCTGCTGCCATTTCCTGGTGTGCAGAGGAAGAGGAAAAATGTGATAAATGTACCTGGAGGCTTCAGGTAGAGATTTAATGTATATGGTATTGCAGAATACTGAGTAATAAACCAAGGTAGCTGCAACTCTTCCTGCCCGATCGTTATTTGTTCAGGGACAGATTCTAAGAGGTGCTAACTAGACACCGAGTTTAAATACTTTTAACATAGCACTGAAATAACTCCTTGTGGGCACAACAGAGTAATCTCTAGCACAGTGTTTCTCAACCTTGGCCACTTGAAGATGTCTGGACTTCAACTCCCAGAATTCTGGGAGTTGAAGTCCAGACATCTTCAAGTGGCCAAGGTT